ATCTATGAAATGAGTTCCCAGATAGGAAGAGGCATGTGGCAATAATTTGGTAGCAGTGTGTTTGGTTGAAATGCTGCCAACTCCCCTAGTATGCACTGTATAGACTGGTTAATGACAACAATGATCCAGCAAAGGGCTTTTACATTTTACAAAAATTACACAAGTTTTCTGTACATTAAATAGGCATCTTGACACCTTTCTACAAATTTTATACCTGAGAGCAATTTCAGGTGGTGTTTCTATCCCCATGACTTCTTGGCAAGTTATGTCACTTTGAATAGTATGTCTATCATATTGCCTGCTATCTTTTTATTCTATGCAACGTGCAACTGCAAGCTTACATCTGCCCTTTTAGATTCATGTAACTCTCATTTGATATTATATATGGTATACTTTAGTATCTATCGATCAGGCAAAGCTTCTGGTTGCTGGTATTAATCATTCATATGGCTATGTCATTTGTAACAGAGCAGTGGTTGTCTAGCATGCCTTACTAAGCACGCTCTGAAATCCTTGGTGGACGATCCCTCACAAGGACTAAAAGTTCAAGGTCAAGCAGTGAAGAAACCTAGCATATCGGAGGATTTTTGGACCAGCAGCACATGTAACATGGAAAATAGTCGAGTGCAGTCACAGGGAAGCATCTCATCAATTAGCATAAGCAACCAGGCAGTTGATCAGCGTGGTGGTTCTGGTAGTGCCAATTCTCCCACAGAATTTGTAAATCATGGCAAGTTCTCTTTTATTGTTGTGTATTTAAGTCCCTTTTTCTTCACTGGTATCAAATCTAGTCACAATTTGTTGAAGTAGCAACTATCCTAACAGATCTTTGAATTTTGAAAGCTCAAACAAACACCTTCCCTTCTTGCACTGATAAAGACTTGGCTGTGTTTGCATCATCTTACATAGGGTTTTTAGTTGCAGGCCTCATTCTCTGGAATCAGACCAGGCAGTGTTGGGTTGGAAATAAAAAGTCTGAGAACCAAACTCAACAAATTCAAGAACCTAAACTTAAGTGAGTTTGTCTTAAACTGCATTGGGTTAGTCAATAAAGTACACAGTTTTAGCATCTCAAGAGAAGTTCTTATGCATGCTCATTCCATTCTACTGTACATTATTCATCCATGATGCAGCATGATGTATGATTTGATTTGTTTATTTGTGGAGGATAAAGAAGAAAGACGGTGTTGCATGTTAAATTTAATTACATAAGTTGTGTACTCTCTCTCTCTCTCTCATTTTGGGGGGAAGGGGTGGGGGGAGGTGGATCTATAATTTGGATTTTCTAGAACACATCTAAATCAGTAGTTAGGGGATGATCAGTGTTTTCTGTATCTGTCTTCACTTTTCTTTTGTTTATTATGAATAACAGTAGATGGGACACTCCTAACTGTAGAAAAGGAATGTGAAGTCTCAACTTGGTTGGAGATCGAACCAGATTCAAAAAGATGATCTGTGCCACAAAACCTTAAAATTCATTTGAAGAAAAAAAGGGAAAAAAACAAAAAGAAAAGCTGATGTCTATTGATTTCAATTCCTGTGCACTATTTGCATCTTGCAATGATGGGATCATATTGGAGTGTATTGGGATTTTGTAGTGCTGTCAGCACCTAGGTTATTGGAAGTTTTAATTGGCTGTAGTTTGTAACCTGTATTTTAGGTTTGCACATAGTGCAGGAAAATTTCTGGAACATTATCTGTCTTGTTTAGGTAGATGTTGATAATATATGTCCTTCTTTTCCCTTCCATGTTGTCCGCACTGATTGTCTCTCCATGGTTAAACAATTCTGGCTTTGCAGTTGGAATGCAACTTATGACAGTCTACTTGGGAGCAACAAGCCATTCCCACAGCCGATTCCTCTTGCTGTAAGTTTCTCATGGACATCTGGGAGCAGGGGCGGCTGTATGGCTGAGTTAGCTTAGATAATCATAACAACATGTTTTGCCTGATTGCATTGCCCATTGTATTGACAGGAAATGGTAGATTTTCTTGTGGACGTCTGGGAGCAGGAGGGCTTGTATGACTGAGCAGCAGAAGTTGAGATATTGAAGGTTGGCTTCATACTAGTATCCACCCCCAGTTGTTTTTGCACCATTTGAATTGCTTCCATAGGGAAAAGTTTTCAAGCATAGCTTGGTTCAAGCATAACCTGGCATGCGACATCAAGTGTAACAATTTCTGGCACATTCGCATTGCGGCTTAATTTTTGAACTTAACGGGCTCTTTTAATTTGCCATTCTACTGCGTTGGAACTAATACAAAATCTACTGCACGCCTCTGATGTTCGAGGTTGTAACTTAGTTGCAAATTTTCTCTTGGTTCATTGTTCAAACTTGTTTTTCTCCACCTTGCAATTCCCTTGATGGACATCTTATGAAATATATCAAAGGAGCTGAGATGAAATTTCTTTACAAGAAAGTAGTGCTTTTCTCATCCCAGCAACATGCGAAAAGGTAACGTGTTTAATAGACTAAGCGCGCATGTGTTAATTTTGTTTCTTTTTTCTAAAATGAGGCAATTTCGAATGAGGTTTAAGTTTGATCCAAGGTCATATAATTGCCATTAGGATGAGGTAACTCGCCACGCAACCCAACTTTTTCAGGTGTTGTTGGGACGGTAAAATGCACCATGAGTTTATGTTAGCGCCTTTCATATCAAAAAAGCCCGTCACCATCAGGCCATGTGGTGATTGGTTCGCAATTTTTTTAACATTTTCAATATATTTGATTTGAAAAAAAAGAAAAGGAAAGAGGGGGAGAAAAAGGAAATGAAAGCATATAACATCATTTCCTTTTCCTCCATTCTCATCTCCTTTCATTTGTAAAAGTAAAATAAATGACTCTTCTTCCTTTTAAAATTTTTGTTAATCAAATAGAATAGTTTTTATTTTTTCTTTCAAACCAAACATATTGATCAGATGTGGTTTGGGCAGGAAAATGCTCAAGAAAATATATTAGGTTAGGTTGTTATTTTCCTTTGTTTTCTTAAATTCTAATTAAGCAGAAGCCATGAAAACAAAAGAAACTTGTTTGTGGTAGAAGGACCCAAATGAGGTATAGCAGACCCAACCCAAGCCAAGCCAAGCCAACCCAACCCAAAAGTAAAGTTTCTAATGTTATGATGACATGACCAAAATCTCTCTACGAGCGGGGAAATGTGAGGAAAGTCGCATCAGATGCATTTCGTCTGGAACACCCCTTATCCAATACCCAATCAAGGAGCATAGTGATAGTATGTTTGAGAAGGTCGAAGAACCATCTTCTCGTGCTCCCATATAATTAATTAATTAATACTATAATTTTCTTTTATTGTTGCCACCACGTCCTAGAACTTGTCAGATACTTCTGTAATTCTACAAAACACCTGATATTTTCTTTAAATCCTCCTCAACGTCAGTAATCAAACAAGAAACCAAAAGGCAAACAACAACACAAGTCTCGCTGTCTTTGTCTCTTAACCTCCAGAACAATGGCTTTGGCTCGTCTGGCTTTGAAGAATTTGAAGCAAAAGCTGTCGTCGACTTCATCTTCTCTGTTGGCTCATAATCTTGGAGGGAAAGGTGTCGGCGGAGTACTGCAAAGGCAGAGGTGGGGTGATGAGACTCTGAAGAGGTTCATGGTGACTGCCACTGATAAGGTCTCTGACGAGAAAAAAGAAGGCAAAGAGGTTGCTGTCTCTGAAGGAGGAAAGAAGTCTAGGCTGTTCCCACGGAGGAGGAACAGGAGGAGTCTCTGGAATTGGAGGAATGATCGTGACTTCGTTCCTTCTCTTTATGGTCTGTCTCTCCTTTTTTCTCCAATTTTCTACATTTTAGTTTCTTAATAGCTCATTAGAGTTTTAGATTGAACATTACGTTGTTGATTCTCCAAAAATTCATGGTCTTTCCAGAATTCTTCCCTTCGGGTCTTGGAAATGCATTGCTGCAAGCCACAGAGAACATAAACAGGCTATTCGATAACCTCAACTTGACACCTTCACAACTCATGGCACGAGTGAAAGAGGAAGACAAGTGCTACAAGTTACGCTATGATGTTCCAGGGTTGAGCAAGGAGGATGTCAAGATCACCGTGGATGATGGTGTCTTGACCATAAAAGGAGAGCACAAAGAAGAGGATGAAGAAGCATCCGATGATGAGTACTGGTCAGCGAGGAGCTATGGATACTACAACACCGGCCTTGTGTTGCCTGACGATGCAAAAGCAGATGATATTAAGGCAGAGCTGAAGGATGGTGTGCTTTCCGTTATCATTCCGAGGACTGAGAAGCCTAAAAGGGATGCAAAGGAAGTGAAAATCCATTGAAGCCAAAGATTGTATTTGAGTGGATTGAAAGGGGAAACAGGAGTTTGTAAAAAGCCTTTTGAAATAATGAATCAATTCACTGAGTTAACTAATTAATTTGGTTTTTACTACCCAAATGTTAAGGTGCAAGTGTTGTTTTAATGGGTGTTTTAATAGTTAAGGATTTGTGTTTTTTTTTATTGAAAATTTTAAGTTTAAATTATGTGATAAGTACGCAGAGATTTTAGAAAGAAAAATGTATTTTTAATAAGATAATCAATTATCCGATTTACCAAAGACATAAAAAATGTGCAAGTTGATGAAAACGGGATATGCTTGGACGAGGCAGTGAGGCAGGGGGATGGGGTAAAGTTCCCGCAAGGGACAATGCGGACCCCTGCCCTGTTTTTTTTTTTGAACAGTTTTATCATGGGGCGGGTTTCGAACCCGCCCAGAGGAGGGTAATGTGTACTTTTCAGTAATTCTAGTCATTGGGCCACATGGACCAAGTGCGGACCCTTGCCCTGTTAACTCTTATCTTTCCTCAGTTTCCAATCAAGTAGGGGTTGGCTGGACCGCGGCTTCAAGTTACAACAATTGCCAACCAAGCATTTGGGTCAGTTTGGCAAAATTGCGATTTGGTAGGCCCAACCAAGCATACTCTATGACTCGTTAATTTTGAAGTTGTAATCAGCCATGACATTAAATTATGGCCTCACTATGCAGGGTTAGGAAACAAGTATAGATAATTTTTACATATTATTTATATAAAATCTATTTATATCTTATTTATTGTTATATTATATTATAAAAATTATTAAAATCTTTGCTAAAGCTTCAATAAATATCAATAAGATTTTTAAAATTTAAATAAAATCTTGAATAAATACTTAGTGTTTTTTAAAATTTTCAGTTAGTATCTAGTGAAAGAGCCTATCCCCAATGGTGACCGTGGAAGGAGACACCGTCTTTGCGCTCATAATGTTTGAAAGAGGGGATTGGCTCTTTCACTGATGAAACTACTAGCAATCAGCTTGGGAATATATCGATTGGCTGTTTCTTGCTGTGAAACTGATTCAAGTCCGGAGGATGGTTGTTGAATGTTGGAGCTGATTTCGTGCTACTTGCGGACGTATTCATTTTATTGGCCAACATACTCTCTGGGAGGGCAACCCTGCTGATGGCTTCTCTCGGTTACAATTCTACTTTGGGTACTACTTTTCTTTGTAGTGCCACCACCTGGCATAAGCATGATTCTTCAGGGAGATACTGTAGGGACAATGTTCCTAAGAGGATAAGCTGTGTTTTCTAGCTTCTGATGTA